TAAAGTTTGACAGTTCGGAAATGAACTGAATGGCTATCGGATCCCACAAACGTAGGCACAAACAAAATCTGTACAAAAATATTTATTTAATAACAAAAGCGCACCGACAAAGCATAAATAGAAATTGCTGGTCAAAAAGAACCAGGAAAACAATACGTAAACAAAAAGCGCTTACAAAGGCAAGGAAATATTTTAAAAAACAGAAATGTAAATACATCAATTTATCAATATATGAACACTGCCCTGATAAACAAAGTGACTAGAGTCCAATGTCACAAAACAAAAACATGAGCAAGATCAAAAACAAAATGAGAAATACAAAGAGTTAAAAAACAACAAAGACGAGATTGAGAGTTCAAGTAAACACTTGAGCTTGCTGCTCTTGTTAAAGTCAATAACCCAACAGAGACATGGGATCTAGGCAGTCCTTAAATACTTGGCTAACTTGACCACATTGGCAGCAGGTGTGCACGCTGGAGGGAAGGCCCTCCTCTGCCACCTGCTGGAGGCACACAAGAACAGGATCATGACATAAAGAACCATTTTGAACAACAAAATTGGGCTTAGGTCTGCTCAAATGAAGATCCCAATCTTGCATACCAAGCATTTCCATCATATGACATATGACATCTGACATATGACAATACATCAATTTATCAATATATGAACACTGCCCTGCCAGAACAAGCAAGAGAGTCCATTACCATACACTATTAGAACAGAACAGGAGTAAAATACGGGGAACATGGAGAAGATTAAATTGTACAAAAAATAATGGCTTAAAAAGTATCTAGAATATTTTAGAATAATCTAAATATTGTTATTGATGAAAAGAAAATAACTGAAATTAATCATTATTTTATTCATGTTGGTTGTAAACTAGCAAAATAAATTCCTAAGCAGATCAATGTATTAAGAATAATTCCCACAAGATGTTCCTTATTGCTGTAAATTATGTTGAAATAGTTAATGTTGTAAAAACACACCAAAAATTCCACTGACTGTTTTAAAATTGACATGATATTAATAAAAATATTATAGAATATTGAATGCAACTGTTCACATACATTGGTAACCTGTCTTTCAAAACTGGTATTTTACCATTGAAAATTAAAAGAGCAAAAGTTATTCCGATACATGAAAGTGGAGATGAATGTCTATTTTGAAATTACTGGCATATGCCATTATTGCCATGGTTCTCAAAAAAATCGAGAACAATTATTTTCACAAAGACTGGACAACATTTCAGCGACAGTCACTATGTTTTCAGAGAAAAAAGATCCACCTCCATGGCAGTAATGGAACTCATGGAAGAAATTGATACTGGTATAAACAAGAATAAATCTACTGTTCGGATTTGGGATGTTGAGTTTTTGACACTACAGATCATAATATATGAATGGACAAATTAGAGAGATATGGTATAAGACCAATGGCATACAAATTGAAAAAAAGTTACTGATATGATAGAAATCAGTATGTGCAGTTCAACAACGTGAAATCGAATCGCTGAATACTGTATACGGTAACTCACGGGGTTCCCCAAGGGTCTATGCTTGGTCCTAAATGTTTTATACAATATATATATATATATATATATATATATATATATATATATATATATATTAGAGCTATCAGTTTAGCGCGTTTTTATTGGCATTAATGGCAACAATTTGAGATTACATTTTTTCTCGCGAGATTAACGCGGCACACGTCACAGCGGATGTTACGTTGCTCTATAAATAAACCAGAAACAAAACAACAAGCGCGCTGCATAGGTCCATGCACGTTTGTTTTGCCAGCCACGGCAGCGCGAGACACCGAAAACTGATACTTAAAGAGTTTATGAATGGAAAGTTTACTTTTAAAAAGTTGCCAGATTGCTCCACTGACAAGACCAAAGTTACCTGTATGTTTTGC